GGGGGGGGGGATGTTTATGAGCACCTATGAGGTTTAGACATGAAGTTATGCTTCAGTAGCCCAGGGGACAAGATCGAAGTGGACACTAAGAAAGGGAAGGATGTGCTTCACAGCATAAAATGGATGAGGAAATCTGATCCACTAGTCCTAGGCCTGTAAAGGTCATGTGAAATCTGTAAACGATTTATTGGTTTAAATAAATTATTAACATGTGGCTTACTGGTAAAACTCTCGTTCTTAAATACATATTCACCTGCATGAAAAAGGATGCATGTTTGTCATGTGGTTTTGGGTTGTTGACTGCGAGGAGGCCTTGTACACCTGCGGTTGCCAAGCAAATTGATTTTTATAGAAATGTGTTTTCGCTGTTTTGAAAAGGAAAAAAAAATTTGTTAAAAATTGGCTAAAGGTTTTTTGATAGTTTGTTATTTTGTTGTTTTTACGGTTAAAGCAAAAAAAAGTAAAGGGAATATATATATCACATTAATACATTTTTATATATTTTTTATAGAATAGAAAATGAATATAAGCATTTCAGTAACAAGATGATAAGAGACTATTTTGAATAAGTAAAGAGTAAAAAAAAAATTCTAAAATGTCTGAAAATGACAGTGGAATGCTGCACACACTTAGACTTTCAAGGTTTGCAAAATTATATTTTTTATATATTATATATTTTATCATCATGATTATCATATTCGATCTGTTGGAACAGCTAAAATCAATGTTAATCATTAATATTTCATGCTAAACAATTCATTTCAAATTCCCAAATAGCACCTATATTGTTGCTGAATTGCTTGTTTTCACTGCTATGATAGATAGATAGATAGATAGATAGATATAGATTTTTTCCACAGTACTCATAAAAATTACCATGTAACTATGCTTGTTCTTTTCCCTTTATGCTAAACCAGGCCCCCAGCAGATGATGCATATGACTTCCCTGTAATAGTGGGATTAAACCCACTATTAAACCATCCCCTCATCAGGGTCCCGTGTTTAACAAAATAGATGTTAGATGAGGTGACCTGCCTCAAATCACCCCGCTCTGTGTCATAATGTATCCTGCGCTCTGCGCTAGCCACATCACCAGAGGCAGCGCAGAATAATTAAGAGGACTCGTATATGGATCATGGAAAGTGATAACAAGCGGGCTTGTGTGATCTTTAATGTGCCCTAGACACTTATCCTCCCTGTATCTCTAATGGCTCATTACACTGTCCTCTTTTCCTCCTTCATCCCTCGTCTTTCTCTCTCCATTCTCTCCCTCAGTGTCTCGTATGAATTTTGTGCCCATCGAGAGCTGCATGCCAAGAGTTTGCCAATTTCTCAATTTCTCAATTTTTTGTCCCCCACCCTCAACATTACAGCTGTTAAGAGGTGTATCCCACCTACTCTTTCTCTCTCTCTTGCTGTCTCCTTCTCTCCTGCCCTGTCTCCTCACTCTGTCCTTATTAAATCTGGAGGATCTAATCACGCCCTCCATCCATAGTTCTGGATAATGGTCACTGTGATGGATGTGATGAGTTTTAATAGGACATGGCCATACTTTAGGATTCATAAAAAACTGACCTTTTCCTATTCAGCTTGTATTCATTTGGATTAATCCATAGGTTAAATGTCTAAGTTAAGCAGTGAAATAAATAGGCTGAATGATGTTCTTTCATTCAGTGTTGTTTTTCGTTTTTTTTAACTAATGCATATTTGAAGGCATGGTTTTGGTCAGGCTTTCATTACAGCTAATATGACTAATCTGTGCTTTTCAAAGTTTAAGTATATCTGTGATCCTAAAATATTTGCCCAAGTTCAGTTATGATGAACTCTTTCATCCACTGGCACCAAACGCCCTTTTATTTAGGCAGCTTTGGTCAACAGTCAGAATGTGATTTTATGCTCCATGTTTTTCTAATTTGAGATTATGCTCTATTACAGACGACCCCACTCAACTCCCTGTTCTGTGATTTTACAGTGACAGCAATTGTGCAAATTATCCTTTCTGCACTACAATGTGCATGAGCTTTGCTTTGGTGAGAAAAGAGCTCCTGTCTGAGGGTGGTCCGCTGCAAGACTGCACTGTGATCTGACTCTCCGCCCCACCTCGCTTGGGTTAATTGATCAGTGTGGGGCTGGTGACGGGATGAGTGCGGGGTCAGCATCTGTATTGACTGGACAGACTGATTAACAAGCACTAAAATGCTCCTGGCCCCAGCTTTGAGAACGTTTGGTAGGTCGTCGTCAATTATCCCCTGCCAGCCTCCATCAGGGGGAACTGACAGCCTTTGCTCTCTCTTCATTTTGTAGCTGTGCTGTGCAGAAACTGCGGTTTTGCAAAACTTGGTAGCACTGGTGCTCCCAACTTCAAAAAGTTAGGAGCACCAGCAAAAATTTAGGAGCACTCACCAAAAATTTAGGAGCACCACAACTACAAATTATATATTAACAGATTTTATCCTTACATTCTTAACTTTAATGCAGATTTTGTATTGGTTAATATTAGCTGTCAATCTCTCAGTCACTGCTTTCCGCTAACTACCGAGAAAAAGAAAGGGCTGAAGAAGAGAGAAAATGAAAAGAACACTGACAGATTTCTTTTGTAAATAACCTAAAGTTAAGTTCTTCTTTGGCAAGTGTTAGGATGGTGTATGCGGTGTTAAATTTTACATTCAGCTCTGCCAGTTGCACCGAACGGCTGGCAGCTAGGGGTGTGCGATATTGACAAAAAATTATATCTCGATATTTTCTGGGATTTTATCGATAACAATAATTTGACTGAGTGTTACTGTGCTGATATCTTAAGGACTACAGTGGACAGCTGACTCCTAAAATTTTTATAGAACGGCAGACAGGTCACCGTATCAACACTCAGAAGGCAAATACTCTGAACGTTTTTAGAGAAATTAAAACAGGTCGCACGACAACAATTATATGCACTCGCACAAATGCTCCCAAATATATTTTGAGGTCGCACAGATTAAATTTCGGGAGAATTTGCGACCAAAATGGTTGCAATTTCGAGCCTTGTTGCATGATGGGTATATTGATCATCTGAAAAAAATTTATCTTCTGATGTTGTGACAATGAGCACATTTACATGTATAACAAAACACTGTTAACTATCAGAAATGGGCTCATTATGAGAACGTTCTTTTTAAAATTACTTTCAAATCAATAAATCAATATTTTCATTGATGACCATTCAATAGTAACCTTATATTCTGAGTTCTGACTAAATAACTTTTTTTTTGTAATATTGCCAAAGTGATTGTTGTTTTGGAGGACAGAGCTAACAATTCAGTTTTGGAGGACAAAGTCATTGGAATGAAAGTGGAATGCTAACAAATTTCAGGTTTCTTCATGTTAGTAAAGACCTCGTTAAAAACCTGATGTAAATAGACATATACATTAGCTTAACTGTTTTTGCAAAGAAAAGTGTGGACAACATACAAAAATCTAGGCATGGATCTAATGTTAAAAGAGCATCATTTAAGTTGTTTAGATTTATTTTTGTCAGCTTATTGAGCATAATCAGTGTAAGACATGCAGTGTGCTGTAGTATTAGTATCAAATAAAATAAAGCAAAAAAGTGTATGAGCCATTGATTTTTTTTTTGAAAACTTTCAGTTGTTCAGATCTCACAAGACCACAAGTCATCTGTCTATGTAGTATTTCTTTTGTATTTTATTCAGTGCATTATTTTACTGATCTGAAGCACAACAGATAAAAGCAGAACTTTGTTGAAGTTGAGTTTTTTCTGCAAATTGCATTACTTGTTGCAGCTTTGTATTTTCAGACCTACCATTCAAAGACCCCAGAGAATGAGTCACTGGATGATTCTGGATGAACTCAGATGAAATATCTGTTCATTACAGTAGATTCATGAAAGTGAAGATGAAAGCAATGTGTGACCATAGGAATCCATAAATAATTTCATCTTTAGCTAAAAAGCATCTTCATCTCCACTTAAATATAAATATTAAGTTAGGAAGGTATTAGTTACTTGCTGACGTAATAATGATTGGTTCAGTCTAATAGGGCTGTTTTCAAGTTCAGATCAAACCTTCTTCAATTAAGTGTGTAAACATTCAGTCAAGCATCAGTGGTGGTGGTTTCTATGTGCAATGCATACTGTGAAATATTTAGAATAACAGGAAAAAGCATTTAATGTTGTGCGTTTCACATTATTATCTCCTTACAGAAGCAGTTTACAGGCCTCCTTTAGGGGCTCCAAAGTGACTTCAGCTTGCTGCTGAGCAGCAGATAACGTGTTTCTATAGTAACTTTTGTGAGAGTAACCTCTTGAGCTTGCTTCCTATTCACAATTTCATCAATTCCCATACATAAGGCATCCAAGCAATCATCAGATGTTGCACTTATTCTCTGAATTCTGACCTGAACCCTCTACGTCCTGTAATTTCATTTAGTGTTACATGTAGATGTTGGTCTATATTCAGTATCAAAAGAGCATTTTGAGTGTAGCTACAGTGGAAGAGAACGGGCCTGCAGGGAATTATGGGTAATGCCAGGAGTGAATGCACGAAAGCTCTCAAGATCACATTTTCTTTGATGGCCTTTTAGATATCTGATATTTCTCGTGACGCACACCAGACACCTGACTGGCACCACCTCATAGGAGTCGGAGCGCTAATTTCCCCTTGCTGTCAAACTCTATCCCCTAACTGATATTCACCATCACCTCTCTCATTTTTCTGTGCAGAGTGCAGATGCCAAGCTGCAATAGAGGATGATTGACAGAAGGCAAACCTGAAACGGGTGTCAGTCAACATCCAGCCAGAGAGTCGATTCATCAGAGTGTCAGAAGCATTGCTCTCTCTCCAGCCCGACCGATCACTTCATCTTCTCTGCCTCCACTTCTCTTATCTCTGCTGGCACCCCGACCCTGCCCCTTCCCAGCGGACACAATAAAGACCAGAGGTGGAGATAGAAGAATCGGGCTTGACGACCTTTCAGTGACCAAAGCGAAGCTGGTATGCTGCTGCCCCTCTTCTGTCCCATGTTCAGCAAAAGTTGGATTATTTTGTAAACCAGACCCAGATCTTCCTCTCCATTCCCTCTTTCTCTATCTCTCCTTCTCTCGTGCATCTTTGAGAGGAAGGGCGCAGACGGATACTTTACATCACAGTGAATAGTCTATTGGAGGGGCGGCCCGAATAAAGGAAGCAGCCATGCGTTTCCCACTGCTCTTGACACTGCAGGCATCATGGCTGACTGTTTGTCAGGCCACGCAGCACTATCCCACAACCTGGGGACACTACGACTTGTGCAAGTCACATGGCTACACGGACGAAGGCCCGACCTGGTATTACATGGCCTGTCAGCCTGAAGCCGCGGACATGACCAAGTACCTAAAAGTGTTTCTTGACCCACCCAACATCACCTGTGGAGACCCACCAGAGACCTACTGCACCCTGGTGAGTGAGTGAATGAATCATATGATTTCACCCACAGTATACTTACTACTTCTTGTGGCTTCATCTTATTTTATATCATTTATTAATGTGCTTCACATTTGATATGCAAATATATTCATGGTGCCACATGCAGACTATAACTGAGGTTAAACAGTTTTGAGGATGTGGGATGGATCTGCGTAATCTACAACCGGTAGCAACGAAGATGCTTACAAATAACTGACAAAGTAAATTTCATTCATTTATGCCATTAGAACTGCTAATAAGGAGTAGTGCAGCTGAAACCTCAGTTAACGTCACATTTGTGTCGGTGTAAATGGTGTCCACTTCCTGTGCCGGGTCATTGACTGTTTCAATTTATATGGTTAATTATCTCGTTTCAGCTTTGGTGGAAGCCTACATTAGGTCTTTGTGGACAAAATGCTGTCTGTCATTAGCATTGAAAATGAGAACTAGAAAAGAGTTAGAGGTAGAAGAAGAGAGAGAGAGATGAATAAAAGACGCACTTAAAAAATATGGCTTGCTTTGAGGAGGTGAGCTGTATGTATTTTATGGGCAAGTCTAAGTGTTTAATTCGAAAAATGTAATTTGTGCATTTACACACGTTTCTTTGAAACTCACAGCTGGCCTGCAGTATTAGAAATTAGTTAATGGTTATCAGTGACTATGTTTAAATGGACATCAGTAATCTAATTATTTACCTTATTCTAAATAAGCTAATATTATGATTATGGTGTTTACATGAGTTGCTTTTAGAATATTCCTTTCATGTTCCCATTTTACATGTTTTAGTACATAGTTTGATTAATGGCACACGTCATTACGCCCCCACGTGACGACATCCGACATCCCCTCCGGAATTTCACGCATAAACATATAAGTTCGTCTTCGCGATGATGCCATGTACAGTTTTGGGTGTTTAATTTTTTATTTTATGAAAGCTTCAAGTGCAGTTAATTATTTGTACGTGCATACAGACGACGGCGGTGTTGAAGCTCTTTTATTTGCTGTCAAACGGTTGAGCACTGCCGTCTGTGTATCCTGTCGCAAAATGCGGCGAAAAGTCCTACACGATGGTAATAATGTGATTAAGTTGTGTACATGTCATTACTGCACTTCAATAATGCGACTAAAATAGGAATACTCCACATGTCTTAATTCGATTAGTGTTTACTTCGATTATGACTAGCCGGATTAAGGTAATCAAAAATCTCTGTTTACATGGTAGATTCTTAATCAGAGTATTGTCTTAATCGTATTAAAATCGAAGTATTGTTGTCCATGTAAATGTACTCAGTGTTACATTTGCTTGTCTGTATGTGTGTTTTGGAAGACTCTATGCGTATTATCTGAAGTTTTACTACAGGTTCAGAGAGCGAGTGAGAGGCTGTTTACAGTATTTAAGAGGTGAAAATAACGAGTGTTGTGGGACAGTACAATGAGAGTCCGCTGAGTGACAGAGGACCTAATATCTGGTGTGCAGGGAGTGAAAAGTGAATTATTCAGTATGTTTAGTCGCTAATGTGTTTTATTCATAGGATACATTATTCAGAGCCATATCTGGGAGGCACTTTTGAAAATGCTGACTCTCTCTGATAGATTCTCAAGGTTAGAGCAAGGGCTGTTATCCATTTTGGAGGGTCACTGTCACAATATAGCTTGGCTCTCTGGTTTCCCAAGGGCCCGGAGTAAAAAAAAATTGACACATAATTTCACCCCAGCACACCAGTCGGTTATTATTGCAATAACAGATGACTGACAAACAGCATGCCCTGTGGTCATGCCTTCCTTCATTCCTGGCCCCAATATTACTTTGTACTTATAAAATGTCTGTGGCAGTTATAATAGAAATATAGTTCCTAGGTGTGACAAACCTGTTTTAGACTCTTAGGCCAAGTTTACATAAAATATTTATTGTAAAGCATTTCTGGTATCGCTAGGTGATCAGGCCCCCTTGTTGTCAAGCAATATAAATTGCAATTGTCCAGCCTTGAAACCCACTTGGTTTTCTGCCAGTGCATCGAGGCCGATCAATTTCTGAGCTGTTAGCCATAAATTGGCAGCAGACATTACATAGATATACTGATTATGCCAATAACAGTTTTTATGATGTCTGTAATCATTCTTTTATTTCCGGCTATTGCCATTAGTGTTCTTTATACAAGAGCTCAATCCTTCGTAATTGATTTCTACTCAGGCTGGCCATGGGCTTCTCTCTCTCCCTCTCTGAGGCTGTTGGGCTGTTTCCTCTGATTAGACCCGTAACAGCCATCGCAGGCAGACAGCGAACCCGCTCTGGGCTTGAAAAAACCAAGCACTGGAGAGACCGATGCTTTACCCTGCAATCTGAAGTGCAGGAAGCTGGACAGATCCATTTGTGAAAAGCTTTTATACTGCTATGAGTGATGACCTTCTCTATGGCAAAAACTTGACCCTCATGCCCTACACCACATAAAAACGTCTGCTCAGACGCTCTTTAAGCAGAATCTGTGCTGTAGACAGTGCTATTTGTCTCTGAATGTTTTGTGCTTTTGTTGTCCAAAATTGTGGAGTTAATGCAAAACAGACTTGGATAGACTTGGATAACATATCATGGCAAGTCAGTTGAGGACGTATACCACACTTTGTGCACACTAACTAGTGGGGTGGTAGTTGGTTCTCTATTTACACCAGAACACCTCATACTGCTGACAATCTGTATGTCTTGTTCTCTTTCTCAACATCTCAAAATTTTAAAGGAAATCTCTCTAGCATTTCATAATAAATGCTCACCACCTCAAGCTTTTGGCCCTTTGAGCGTATCCAAAAAGTTGCCCTTGTATTTAACCTCTGGAAATTCTCTCATGTTACACTTCTGCCCAGGTCTCTTCGCTGGCTGCCAGTAATTGCTAGAATAAATTTAAGACCTGCCTAAAATGCTGCTTTGGTCTGTGCCACCACTATATTTAGACTTAAATCAAACGGCTCCAGCCTGGTCACTGCTATCAGCCATTTCTGTCACCTTGCTTCCCAATGTCTCCACGTTCACACTCATCATGCTCTGAATTTTTTTCCACACTTGCCCCTCGATATTGGATTTGAACTCTCTAGCTTCCAATGCAGCCAGTTAGAGTTAAAAAAGACCTCATGCATCACTATAAAGGACCATTGAAACAAATTTGGCAATGGTCTTCAGATTTACAGTTATATAATTCAAACAGCTTGTTCATCAGTCTTGTGGCTTGACACGATTCAGAGAGAGACACTCCTCACTAATGCAACAGCCTCAGAAGACATCTCCTTTCATCATGTGATATTATATGTCCTAGAAAGAAGAACTGAATGACAGAGAGCTGTTTTTAATAAGGAAAATGAAACAATTACACAGTTACAGAAAGAAAACTAGATTGTGGTTAAAAAATCATAATGGCTTTCAGCTGAAGATTGTCCCATTGCAGCATTACTCAAGTTTTCATTATTCTGTAAAGTGACACCGCTTTATTTATGTTTTGATATATAATTCTGACCTTTTCCTGCATATTTCTGCGTGATATTGCAGAGCTCAGGGAGTGATGGAAGACATTTTGGTTCATCAGCCTTCTCTCAGAGCGGTGCCATTCCTCAAGTGGCTTAGCATTGACATTTCAGTGAGATTTGAGTGTGCTGTCAGCTACAATATGCCTCCTCTCATATTTAAATGTGCGTCTCGATGAAAGCCAAGGGGAAAAGGCTCCTGCCAATACAGTGTAGTCTCAGACAAATGGTGACGTTCGACTTTAATCAAATAGTTTATTCATGCCGAATTCATGCTGAGAGATTGCACAAAACCAGCCACAAAGCAGCTTTTCAAAAGTGCTGACTTTCATGAATGGACTGAGGCAAATATTTTAACACTATTGAAAGACTAATTACTTTTCTATAGAGCTGTTAAACATCTGAGGAATTGTGCCATGTGATTGATATATTTATTTGTTTTCTTTTTAGCCGAGTCGTAGAGCTGATAGAAATCAATCTGAATGACGTGGCTGCTCTGTATCAGAGCAAAAATTGAACAAATCTGATGGTATTATCAATCTTAGTCAGGCATTAGTACAACCCTCTAGAATAAAAATTTAAGACTTGAGACATTGAAAGAATGCTTTGACAGTTCAGCTTTTTGAAAGTCCAGCAGAAACTTATTTTGTGTTCTATTCTTCACCATATTCTCGATTTTAGACTTTTGTTTAGGTTTATGACTTTGTTCGTTTACTTACGTGTAGCAATGCAAGGGTTGAATCATAGCTGTCCATGTCTGTACACTGTCAGCTGTTTGGTGGCTTGGCATCATGAATGAAAACAGCTGGATTCAAATTAGGGCTGCACGATAAATCGCATGCGATATTTAATGCGCATCTTATCAGCAAAACCACGTTCATATTCGCACGATTTTTTGCGCAGCTCGTCAGTGAACAACGGCTCTGTGTAGTTAATGCTGCTCAATGTGAAAGCACGCACGTGATGGAGATTTACAGCTGATTACAGAACCGGCTTTCTGACAAGATGTGCGTTAAATATCGCATGCGATTTATCGTGCAGCCCTAATTCAAATAGTACTGAAGGGTCTCCCCCTTGTGCGAGGCATCAAGCAAGGCACTTAACCTCTGCTTGCTCCGGGGGGGCCGCAGAATGACTGTATGCCTGTGTGTTCTGACCCATCCCTTTGCCTGTCACAGAAGAGAGAACGGCCATAAACATTCTGGGGTTTTATGTCAGAAAATGGATTACAGGGAAACCCACGATCAAGGCTAAAGTGTGGAAATTGCACTTTTGGTTTTCAAACAGTTGTTGCAACAAAAAGATACTTTCAGAAGGGCATAGTAAATGGTATTATGCTTTATTAGCTGCTCTGCTTTGTGCATCACTGGCTGTGCTGTTGAATAAGGTTTGACGACTGTCTTTGCATTCATATTGACACTGATCTATAAATAGAATGCTTATTCATTTTAATGCTGTGACCTGACTCAGGTAAGCATTATCTACAG